TTTGTGTTATTCATGCGAAAAAAGCTTTTATTAGTTGTTTTATCATTTATCATTTATCATTTGTCAGTTTTTGCGCTATATACTAGTCCCCCGAAAGATTAAAAAAAAAAGTCATGGCCAGGCATCACCGAGACCTCATGTTTTGCCGGCAGCTGCCTGGGATAGCAGTGGGTGGGTTGTGCGAGAAGTGCGATGGCAAGTGCGTAATCTGCGACTCGCTGGTACAGCCAGAAAAGCCGGTGCACATCTGTGACGAGTGCAACTTTGGCAGCCACCAAGGGCGCTGCATCGTGTGCAACGGAAAGGGCGTGTCGGACGCATACTACTGCAGAGAATGCACGCGTTTGGAAAAGGACCGCGACGGATGCCCGAAAATCGTAAACATTGGCAGCGCGCGAGCCGGTCTGTTTTACGAGCGAAAGAAATACGGCACCAAGAATGACACCTAGCCATATGCTTTGAGTATACCAATTGGGTCGTAGTCATTGGCGCGACAGCCACAACTAAATATAGCACGTATTAGCAAGCGATCAAGCGATTTCCCAATCAGCAATGTTTACATTAAAACTTTGGGCATGGCTGGCGCCCACCCTGCGCAAACAGCCCCCTTCATCCTTTCCGCTTTGCGCGCAGAGTATATCACTTTGTTTACGGTACTATCCTTTTATTATTATATTTGCCTTGGTCGTCTCTACCCGCTCTATTATTTTAATTTGCTTGTATAAGCATATCAATGGTATGTCGCCTTTCTCCGAGATAAAAACAAATATGCTTGCCCAAGGTCGCAATCGACTCGAATTTCAGCAACGCCTAATTTGTTTACCTGTTACCTTTTTTGTTTGCGCTCTGAATAGACCACGGGAATTCGGCCACCAGGGTCGCTGCTCAGACCACCCAGCAAGATTGGCGGGCTGAAGCCACCAACAAGCCTGGCCGCTACCACAGGCGCGGTCAACGGCAAGCGCAAGCTGGCCGAAGATGGAGCCGAGATAAGTGCTCGGCCACCATCGGCAGCTGGTATGCCTAGCCTTGTTTCTGGAAGGCAGCTGAAGGCGCCAGTGTCCAAGGCGGCGCCTCTCGACACCGAGACGATCCATGCCGGCCGTCGGTCGTCACAGGGGTTCAAGGTGACGCCCAAGCAGGAAAATCGGCCAGTTGGCATCTCGCTGCCTGTGCCGGGCGCTGGTGCAAAGGCTGGCGCGAAGGCTGGTGCAGTGGGGCGGGTGGCTCCAAGAAACACCTCAAAGGTGGGCGCAGCGAGGAGGCTGCCAGCTAGTCGGACGGTAATTACAAAAGGGCGCGCAAACGTGCCTAGTGTGCCCAGCGGTGTTGCCAAGAGCAGTCAGCCCCCGCAAGGCAGCATCAAGCGCAGACGAATCGACGCGCCTCTCGGCTTCGACAACGGCACTCATTTTATTGCCACTGGCAGTGTAGCCGGGGCTGTAACACACCTGTCGCCCAGTTTGAAGGGCGCGTCTATTGGCAGCGCGTGCCTGAGTGACAGTCTGGGCGCGGACGAGGACGACAATGGCGGGAGCGATAGCGATGACAACGAGGAAGATGAGCTGGGACCACCGCCGGTGATGCATGTGCGCCCCGATAGCGACGTCAAGGGGCGCCTGAAGGACCTCGAGGCTTGGTCGGCATACATGACCAAGAAGCACCAGACCGCGCGCAAGAAAAAGAGGCTTCTCAGCGTGAAGCTCGAGAACAACAGCACGCAGGTCACTCAGCTAGAATTCGACAAGAAGATTCTGGAGGCCAAGCTCGAAGAGTTGGAGAAGCGAGCAAGTACTTTGCAAGCGTCGCTCAGCGAGCGCCAGCACCAACTCCAGGAGGAGAAGCGAAAGCACGAAGACGAAACCGACGACTTGCAGCGCCAGTTCAAGCGCCAAACCGAAAAGATGGAAGACGACTATCGCTTACTCAAGAAGGCGAGCCGAGAGCTCCAAGAGACGCTAGATACCGCCAAGGCCAGCCTCCAGGCCAAACGAGACGAGTGCGTCCGCTTGGAGAGCACCATATCTAAGCAGGCCAGCGACCAGCTCGAGCTGGAGAGCAGTTGCCGCGGCTTGCGGGCCAAGCTGGAGCACTTGGAGGACGTGGCCAACGAGCGCGAGATCCGCATCGCAGAGCTTGAGGAGGACGTGGCTACTCGCAACCACTCGATCGACCTTCTCGAGGCCAAGCTGCGAAACGAGGAGTCGATGCGCCGCAAGCTTCACAATGCGATTCAAGAGCTAAAGGGCAACATCCGCGTGTTTTGCCGCGTGCGCCCTCTTCTGGGCGAGGAAAGAGACATGTCCACCTTGCTGCCGCTCAGCTTCCCCGACTGCGACGACAAGAACGAGATTGAGCTGGTGCAGTCGTCGGAGAATGCCCTGGGCAAGTCCACTGCCAAGGCCTTTCCGTTCAAGTTTGACCGCGTCTTTGCGCCAGACTCTTCGCAGGACACGGTGTTTGACGAAGTGTCGCAGCTGATCCAATCGGCCTTGGACGGCTACCCTGTCTGCATATTTGCCTACGGGCAGACCGGCAGCGGCAAGACTCACACGATGCAAGGCCCAGATGCCATTCCTGCCTCGGGCATGGACGAGGAGATCCTGGGCATAATCCCGCGCGCCGTCAAGCAGATCTACGAAAACACCGGCAAACTGGCAGAGCGCGGCTGGGAGTACACTCTTGAGGGGCAGTTCCTGGAGATCTACAACGAGACGCTGCAGGACTTGTTGGCGCCATCCGGACGCAGTGCGCAGGCAAGCGACAAGCAGTCCAAGCTCGACATCTACCAGGACACCGAGGGGCATACGCGAGTAAAGAATCTGACCACGGTAAAGGTTGACAGCGCCGAGCGAGTGCATTGGCTTTTGGCTCGTGCTGCCGAAAACCGCACCGTGGCTGCTACCAACTGCAACGAGCGGTCGTCGCGGTCTCACAGCGTGTTTACGCTCTTCTTACGCGGCAAGAACACGTTGACTGGCGAGTCCTCGACCGGTGTGCTGAACCTCATCGACTTGGCAGGGTCCGAGCGCCTCTCCAGCTCGGGGTCAAGTGGCGATCGCCTCAAGGAAACGCAAGCCATCAACAAGTCGCTTGCTTGCCTCGGCGATGTTATTGCCGCGCTAGCCAAGGGCAACCGCCACATCCCGTATCGCAACTCAAAGCTCACGCACTTGCTGCAAGAGTCGCTCGGTGCAGGCAACTCCAAGACGCTGATGTTTGTGTGCGTTAACCCCAGCCCAGGCAGCACGCAAGAGTCGCTCTGCTCGCTGCAGTTTGCGACCAAGGTGAACTCGTGTCAAATTGGCACCGCTCGGCGCCAAGCCGCATAGTCTTGGCTCAGTCCAATTTTCTCGCCGTACGCTCTATTATGATGTTTATTATTGATCGTTTATATGATACATGCAAATGCCGAGTTGCAGTCAACCCATTCGGCCGCGATCGCCGCACACGCTGCAAGGAGGCGGAGTGCCGCCGAAGCGCCGCGCCATGTCGCTCGCTACAGGAGTGTTCTGTGCCTCGCGATTGCGAAAGTACGACTGACCGACGCAGCTCGGACAGGGATTGCCAGTGCCCGGAACATATGCCAGGTAGTACATGCTACTGTCGCTCTGGCTTGTGCTCGGCGTGTGGTGGTTGCCGTAGGTCGAAGGCGCCGCCGATATACCGAGCGGCATATTGATTAGCGGGCTCAGCATGTTGTCCAAAAGCCCCATCAGCGATGGTGCTTGGGGCCGCGAGCGAGTCCGCTGCGCAACAGTGCCGACGGGGCAGTGGCAAGCCGATCCGTTGTTTTGCCTCCCAGTGTTTCTGCAAGCAGGGCACACGACCGAGTACGCGACGGGCTGGCTAGCCCCAGAGTGCTGACTGAGACTCCCACTTGCGACGTCGTGTCGAGGCCAGCTGCTGAGCATGCTGTTGTTGTACTGGCGTTGCTGCCATTGCGCCCCAGGATACGCTGGCGTGCCGCCACACTGGCCAGGCGCATTGCCAACTACTCGAATCGACGTCGGGTTGTCTCGCAGAGAGGAGTAGCTAATGTTCCCTTGTACTGGTCCAGGCGGCGTGCGTGCTGGCGTAGAAACTATCGGCGCGTATAAGTGCGGTAGGCCAGCGTCCGAGCGGCACGAGTGCGGCAGCTCTGGCCCTGTGCCGGGAATTGCGGGCCAGGGAGCTTGCGCGAATTCGCTCTGAGTGGGCGTTGTTTCAAGCTGCTCGTATCCTACATTCAAGCACCGAGGAAGCCGCGGGTTCACAGGCATTGGACCTGACGACACCTCCACACGTCTCGGCAGCTCGGGCGGCGTGTGGCCGTTGTGGAAGAAGCGCCGCGCATACTGGCTGCGCGGGTCGGACGGGTTCACAACAAGGTGTGGCGGCTGGGCGCGGACTATCGGAGCGCCGGCGCCAGCATCTATGGACTGCTCCTCGGGCAGTGGAAACTGTGAGTACTCTGGCGGTGGCTCTTCATCGAGCACTGTGCTGCGGTATGTCGTTGCCATCGCAAATGAATGAAATTAGCAGCAAGCAAGCGACAATCGGTGGTCACAAGAATTAAACAGAATAAAAATGCAGTACGGTCTTTTAAAAAATAAAGCAAGCGGGGAATACTTCCGCACACCGCCTTTGATCATTTTTTTTTTCTCTTGGCACTGCCCAGTCAGCCCAAAAATAACCACAAAGTAGGCGCATTGGCCCTCCGACAATAGAGAGTGACGCACAAAGGAGCATTCGCGCTTACCAAGCTTTTCTGCAGTCGTTCGCAGCAGCACACGAGGTTATTCTCAGATGACAAATCCTCAAAGGATCAAAGTTGGGCCATGGCCAAGAGACATGTGCAGCCTTTGCTTGCAGGCTTGCTTGGTATTACGCCAAGTCCAAGCAGAGCAGAGCAAAGCAAAAAAATCGCGGCACACGCTTTTTAGCATACTGGTACGCAAACCATGAAAGAGAATATAAAAATACTAAAAAATAGTCTGCGATATAGTGCAGGAAAGCAGAGCACCTTGGCGCAGAGGAAGCGCTCAGGTATCATAACCCTGAGGTCCCTCGATCGAAACGAGGAGGTGCTAGATTTTTTATAGTTTTATTTATTTATTCGCTGTTTTGGCATGTACGCCTTTCGGGCATATTTTTTTTTAACTGAAAGGCTAGCAGCCGGTTCTGCGAAGTAGCAGGCAGGACTGCACATTTTAGGGTAATACTGCCATATCCCGCTACATAAATGCGCGACAATTCGTTTCTTACTGCTGGTGCAGCCCATGGTGTATTGTCCGTCAATGCTACTGACATTTTGCACAGGTTTGCCCTCGTATCATTCAAACACATATCTGGTTAGGGACTATAAAGCTTAACAATCAATCCAGCAACATCGTGTCAAAGAGTCTACTGCCATCTCGCGCTGAATACTTGTCCTTGTTAGTGGAATGCGCGCAGTATACCAGCACATTTCCATTTCTTGTTGGATTATCTTTATCACAGGAGCCCTCTTCGCTCGTAGCTCTACCACCTTGCGTCCAAAAATGTAAGAATCTAATAAATTGGCTCCCCTTCCGCCGCCTGGCATCAAGAGTTGGCTCTTGGTCTTTCGCATCTTCTTGTAACTCCGTAGCATCTATACTTATTTTCAAACGCATTCTACCCGCTCATTCACCTATTGATATTAACCATGCGCTTCGCCTTCATTGCGACCTTGTTTGTCTGTGCCGTCGTGTCCGCTGCTCCGCTTCCTGTTGAGCGTGTTCCTTACGACGGCACCCTTGGTGGAGTCGTCAAGACTCTATCCGGCCTGACGGAGGCAGTCGGCCAACTCGTAAACAACCTCACCAACGATCTCGGCCAGGGCGCGCATTAGGCTCCCGGCTTCAGCATAGTCCCGTTATTAACACGTCTTGAATAGACCTCTTACATGTGGTCTGTTGTTATTAATTATATAATAATCCAACTGCGCTAGCAGCAGGGATCATCCAAATCAAGAGTGTCTGTCTCACGCATTGTGCTTTGAATTCTGCGCGTGGCTTGATGTAAACAAAACCGCCACCGCTGCAAAAAATGTCGATAGCTCCAAGTTGTCTTACTTTTCCTTTTAGTGTGACCTGACGCCACAAGGCCATGATGGTGAGACTGGATTGTTGCTCAGACTTTCAGAGCGGCCATGCAAGAAGGAGGCGCTTACGCCTGCTTGTTACGATGTGACAATAGGGTGGAGCAAAATGGCCCGCACCCATTGACGCGCATTGTTGTTCTGGCTATTACGGCTGCTGGGCTTGTGGCTGACTTGCTATGCAATTATGTTGCTAGTTCATCAGAGGCCATGCAAATTGGTTTGACGGTGGTGCCGATTGTTCCTTCATTTTTTGTTTTGTAGTCTGGCCGTGTTACTGACCAGTGCTCACGCTTTTCGCTTGTTCGCAATATTATTTTTTGCACAGGACTATCAGACCACAATGCCTTTTTTTGCCAGATATATTGAGGCTACTGCACGTTTCGAGTCTGCACAGGAGAGCATCCAATATATACATATGCGTCGCTTGCCCTGTCCAGATGGTCAAGCCACTAAGCCGTCTCACTCTCCTCTTTGGATACACATTCCTTCACGCTCGCTTTTTCTCTCACCGCCTCACACCTTGCTCTCCTCCCTCCAACTGCCTTATAGTCGCTCAACCGTGCCCCGCAACTTTTGCAACTCCAACACTTTATCATATCCCCTGAGCTCGCCACCTTCCGCCTTTCGCTACTTTTACTCATCTACTCGACATGCGTACTTGTGCACTCGTTCTCTTTGCTGCGGTGACCGCGTCCGCCGCACCGCTGCTTGCCAGACAGCTGGTGGTCGGCCAGTCTGGCGCTGATAGCAAGTCAGTCAACGGGCCTACTGCTCTCAGCAACCCGGAGATCAATAATGGCGCTCTAACGGAGGGCTCAATCGACACTACGACCTCGCTCGATGGCGCTGTCATCTCAAACCCGATCGGCAACACGCTTACCACCGTCAACGACAACACGAGCTTCCACGACAACATCGTCACCAACCCTAATGTCAACTCGGCGTCCGACACCGTTGGCAGCGTTGTTGTTGGTAACGGCAACCA